ATGCGATAACACTAGCGCGATAAGCCTCACTAAAAATTATGTTCTTTATTACGTACTAAAAACATAAAGAAATCCGACACCACTTCCTTAGGGATCATGTTGAAAAGGGTGATTCTATTTTTGAATATATGGATAAGAAAAATCAATTGGCTAATATTTTTACAAACCTGTTATTCATAAAACCTTTTCAAAAGATACAAAGGAAATTGGAAATCTTAGATTCTTTGTGTTTTAAGTCGATTTAGACGCTTATTTCATTTCATTTTCTATTTGTATTATATTGTAAAATAACATCCTTGTAGCAAGTTACACTTAAACTAAACATATTGTTATGATTCTACAACTTTTATCTCTAGCTATATCATCGTTATATTTTGTTATATATATATATATATATATATATATATATATATATATATATATATATATATATATATATATATATATATATATATATATATATATATATATATATATATATATATATATATATATATATATATATATATATATATATATATATATATATATATATATATATATATATATATATATATATATATATATATATATATATATATATATATATATATATATATATATTATATATATATATATATATATATATATATATATATATATATATATATATATATATATATATATATATATATATATATATATATATATATTTGTATATTTCTTACATTCTTTATTTCATTCATTCATTTCTAAGATGATGTATGACTGTTTGTTTATGCATTTAAAATATTTTTAAGTGAATCTTATTAATTATGTGCATTTGAGCATTCTTTTGTTTTGTTCATGCATTACCTAATCTTCCATTCATGTATGTTTTGACCGTGTAGTTGTGTTGTTGTGTAATCTCATGTTTACTTGCGCATATTGTTGCATTTGACATGTCTGTCTTTGTATATTTGAAATATATCCTATTGTATTATGTTTTATTCTTAGCTATGTATAACTTATTTGTTTCTCTGAATTATCATTTATATTTCACGTTATTTTGCATTTAGGCTCATTAGCATTTATCTCTTTTTAACCTTGTAAAATGGGGAGAGGTTGTAGTATGAGTCTACATTTGATTTATGTGTTTAATGTTGTTAGTGCTTTTGTGAAAGGTTTCAAGGGGTGCATAAACAAATGGAGGAAAGCATTGATCACACTTTGTTTCTGCTCAAAGTCGACTCAATTCAAGTTGCCAGCCTACAGACAAAGTGAGATTTCTTTTCAATCTTTGGACAGACCAACACTTAAGATACCAGTTGGATCGAGGAAAGATCGCTGCAGAATGAAGACTTTGAAGCTGAATTATGGGCTGGAAGATTCAAGACAATTTCGAGTAAATATTTCACAAGGATTCACTTTGGATATTGTGTACAAGTAAAAGGAATCCAAATAGAATTTTATTTATTTATTTATTTTTATATTTTCATCATTATTTGGATATTCTGATTGTACTAAACATTGTGTAATTTGTCACAAATTATAATGGAATACCAAAATTTCAATGGAAACCATTGGAGAGTGGAGTAGGCTTAGTGAGGATGATAGTTGGACCACTATAAATTCGGCGTACACTTCACTCATTCTCTCTCTCTCTCTCTCTCTCTCTCTCTCTCTCTCTCTCTCTCTCTCTCTCTCTTAAATTTGTAGAATTGCTTGTTAGATATTTTTTGCTTTCTTAGAATCATATGTTGTGAGGTTTTTTCCTTGATAATAATCTATCGATTAAGTGTTACTTTTGTTAGAATCAACTCTTTGAATAATCTTATTGTTGATTAAGGATGAAAGCTGCAGTGTTAGAATTAATTTTATATTACCTTTGTACATTTACATGTCTTGTGTTAATTTGATATTAAATCAACTCATTCCTTGACTGTTTTAGGAAAAATCTTTGATTCAATCTTTTAGTCATATTGTGTACCGATTGAAGTGTCTTGTGTATATATTGTTCGATAAGCATAACCAACTTTATAAGCACATTGCTTCCGCCGCAATTTTTTTTTTTAAATCAGTCATTTTACTTGGGAGGCCTATTCACCAATCCTTTAGACCTTTGTATTCTCGTATTCTCTCCCAACAGTTTTATCCTGATTCAACCCCATGAATATACTAAACTTGAACCTCATGCCCGTCTATGTTTTTTTTGTTATGAACTGAACACAAAAATTATAGATGTTGGGACCTAATATCTAAGCGCATATGCATCTCTTACCATGTTATATTTTGGGAGCACACAATGTTCCCCTCCTTGTCAAAGTTTACCTCAACCCCGTCCACTTCCACATCTCTCTTTATTAACCTCGATGTTGATTAATTTCCTAGTGACACATATATAGGTTCTAAGACATATGCAAGTTATTCTACTGTGCTTTCAACCTCTTATGATATTCTATCCACTTCTGGTGATGATGTTTTTCTTGTTGTTATTGCACCTCCCACTAATGAGATTCCTCCAAGGGTAAGAAACCTTTCTACTTTTCTTCGTGATTACCATTGTTTTTCTACTATGCTTCACCTTCATAAAACAAGATCCTATAAGGAAGCCTCTATAGACCCACATTGACAACAAGCTATGCATGCAGAATTACCACCAATAGAGAGAAGACACACATGTGACCTTGTTGAACCTCATTTTGATAAGCCTCTTGTAGGATACAAATGGGTAAATGAAATAAAGACTATTTATGATGGGTCTATTGAGCGATATAAAGTTATTATAATGGCAAAAAGGTTTACTTAAGAGTATGGTGTTGATTATGAAGAAACATTTTTTCTTGTTGCATGCATCACCTATGTTCAAACTCTCTTGCCATTACATCCACTCGAAAATGGGTACTTACTCAAATGGATGACAAAAATTATTTTCTCAACGGTGACTTAGAAGAAATGGTTTATATGCGTCCTCCTTTAGGATATACATGCTAGGAAAATAAAGTGTGTCATCATTGTAAGGCTTTCTCTATGGGCTTAGGTAAGCACCTCAAGCTTAGTTTGCTAAATTTCACAATACTATCACTCAATTGGATTTCTCTTTTGATTCTCATGACTATGCTTTTTTTTACTCGAAAACACACAGTGGTATTATTGTCTTGCTTCTTTATAATGATGATATGATTATCACTGGCGATGACTTTGTTGGAATTGAAGAGCTCAAGAAATTGTTGTGCGAGTACTTTGAGATGAAGAATCTTGGACCATCAAGTTACTTTATAAGACTTAAGGTCTTATCTTCTAGTGATGGCTTATTTATCTCACAAGCTAAGTATGCTTTTGATCTTGTTTCTCGAGCAGGTCTTGCTGATTGTAAAATTGAAAATACTCCTTTTGAACCCAGTGTCCGATTTACTCCTCAAGGTAGTACTTGGCTCGACAATGCCTCTCTTTATCGAAAAGTCATAGGTAACTTGATTTACCTTACAATTATTAGACTAGATATATCATATGTTGTTTATTTGATTAGTTTACTCATGGTATGTCCGCGTACCATTCATTATGCTGTTATCCTCCAGATTATTCGTTATACTAAGGACACCATGTCTTATGGTCTATACTACTCAATTGCATCCTCGTTGATTCTCAGAGCCTACTTTAATTCCAATTGGGCCGGTGATCCTAATGATCATTGATCCACCAATTTTTTTTGTATTTTTCTTGGAGATTCTCTTATTTCTTGCTAATATGACTTCAGAGATATTATGGCTTTATTGGATTCTTGCTGATTTAGAGACATCTTAACCTTCACCAACAACTCTTTATATGATGATGTTTTTCATGAGCGAACAAAACATATTGAAATTGATTGTCACTTTATTTGTCAACATTTTCTCCGTGATGAACTTCATCTTACAACAATGGCACTCTTGACCAACTTACTGATTTGTTCACAAAACCTTATTCTCTTGATCACTTCCACACTTTAGTTTTTAAATTCATGTTGTTTACGGTTCCACCCACTTAAGATTCAATAGAATTTTACAATATTTTATGATTCTCACATCATTGTAATTTATATTTTAATTATATTAAATATAATTAATCTTTTATTTTATTTATTTATTTGTTTACAATCATATGTTATAAATATGAATTTTTGCTTATATTTAAGAAATACAATTACTACACAAATATTATTCATATATTTATGAGTTTTTACATAAATAATATAATTTAGAACTTTGGATCTTTTTAACAAGCATTTTTTTATGTGAGATAAACATGGAAGGACAATAAGAAAAAGAATGTAATTAAAAGTGAAAATTTTAATTAAAAGAGAAGTAAATACAAATGATATATTATAAAGAAATACTAATAAATAGGAGTGACAAAATGGATTCGATCTATTGAATATTTCTGTTTTGTCTACACGTTTCTGCAGAACAGATCAATATTTTAGGTCATATTCTCTAATATGCCTCTCATTTTTTCCAGACACAAACTTTAACATAATTATTTTTGTAAATTTTAAACTAAAGAGATGCAATGTTTGGGAACTCACTCCACCTCGCACTCAATTTTTTTTGTAGAGGAGATCACAATTTAAGATTGTGCTCTCAATAATGTTCGCTCTACTCTGTTCCGCTATATATTTTTAGAGACTTTTACAAATATGTCTGGTTGCCACCCTTCTAATTATTTTTAAAAATTATATTATTTTTAATCAAATTTTTGGAAGAGGATGTAAGTCCCACATTTTAGACTTTGGACAATGTGATAATGAAACAATAACTAAACTAATCCCATGACATAACCCAGCTCAGCACTCATAACAACATTCATTTTCCTTCCAAAACACAACTCCACAAAAACCACTTTCCTTCAAATTCTCCCCACCGTAAACTCACCTTCCATTTATTCCTTCAAATTCAATCAAACAACAACACACCCGTTCCTCCCCTCTCCCAACCTCACCATAACAACCAACCACCAAAACAAAACCCTATTCCCATTTCCCTCCAATTAATTCCCCCGAAAAAATGAGAGAAATCTTACACATCCAAGGTGGACAATGCGGTAACCAGATCGGCGCCAAATTCTGGGAAGTAATATGCGACGAGCATGGAATCGATCACACCGGAAAATATAACGGAGATTCCGAGCTCCAACTTGAGCGGATTAATGTCTATTACAACGAAGCCAGTGGCGGAAGATACGTTCCACGCGCCGTCCTCATGGATCTTGAACCCGGTACCATGGATTCCGTTAGATCCGGTCCGTTTGGGCAGATCTTCCGTCCGGATAATTTCGTATTCGGTCAGTCCGGTGCCGGAAATAATTGGGCGAAAGGTCATTATACCGAAGGCGCCGAGCTTATAGATTCTGTCCTTGACGTTGTTCGCAAGGAAGCTGAGAATTGCGATTGCCTTCAAGGTAATTAACCAGTTTGTTTAAATGATTATGAATTGTTTTGGATTTGTTGATTTGTTAATGGTTGATTTAGGATTTTGTTTGTGTTGCAGGGTTTCAAGTGTGTCATTCTTTGGGAGGTGGCACGGGTTCTGGTATGGGAACTCTTTTGATTTCGAAGATTCGAGAAGAATATCCTGATCGTATGATGTTGACGTTTTCGGTGTTTCCTTCGCCTAAGGTGTCTGATACGGTTGTGGAACCGTACAATGCAACACTTTCTGTTCATCAGCTTGTTGAGAATGCGGATGAATGTATGGTGTTGGATAATGAGGCTCTTTATGATATTTGCTTCAGGACTTTGAAGCTTGCTACGCCCACATGTAAATTTCTCAATTTTTGTTTTAATTATGATGTGATTGATTGGTGTTGATTATTTTTAAGGTCTATGATGCATGAGATGGAATGTGAATTCATTGTTTTATAGTTTAGATAAGAAGATTAACTTAGTTGTTATTGATTAGAATGTTATGATGGTTGATGTAGAGCTGGTAGGATTGGGAATAGATGCAGTAGAGTGAAAGTTGGGTATCATCTGTTATCTAAATATGGTACAACCTTGCTTTATACGAAGGTTAGATTTTTATATTTAGAGACACATTAAGAAAAACTATAGGTAAAACTTGTTTTACAATGGAACATTATAGGATTATTTGATTGATCTAGTTATCCCCACTTGTCTTAGAATGATTTGGTTGTTGATATTGTAATGTGACATATTCTGTATTGATGTGTATTAACATTTTCCATAGAGGTAGAAGAAGATAAGAAAAATTAAAAATCAATATATTGAGAAGAATTTAGAGTTAGATGATTTATCATTAGGCATGATACATATAGCTGATTTTAATGAGGAAAGACTTTTTGTTTATGCAGTGCAGTTTGTTGTTAATGTTATTCTCATTTTTGTGTTGCTTCTGCTGCTGCATATGTTGTTGTTATTATCATCATGAATCATGACTATCGGTGGCCGTTCTGTTCTTGTTGTTGTTGTTTACTACGCATAAATGATTAGCATCAAGTAGCAATTGATATATTGGCATGCCTTTTCATTAAATTTACAATTTTAATTATGATTAAATACAATTATATTGATGGGGCCGTAGGATGATTCAAGTGGGTTTAGGGTCCTTGTTCTTACTCATCGCAGGTGGTTATTGTTGTTGAACTTCTGCAATCAATTTGGTTATCAAGTCACTTTCTCTAAATGAAGTGTATTTTACTTTATTTGCACTTTAGTTGGTAGTTCAGTTATGAATTTCATTTTCTTGATTTTATTTTTTCAGTTGGTGACCTTAACCATCTCATTTCCGCAACCATGAGTGGAGTTACTTGTTGTCTACGTTTCCCTGGACAATTGAACTCAGATCTGCGTAAGCTTGCTGTCAATCTCATCCCATTCCCGCGGCTCCATTTCTTCATGGTTGGGTTCGCACCCTTGACATCGAGAGGATCCCAGCAGTATCGTGCTTTGACTGTACCTGAATTGACTCAGCAGATGTGGGATGCCAAGAACATGATGTGTGCTGCTGATCCACGCCATGGCCGTTATTTGACTGCATCAGCAATGTTCCGTGGTAAGATGAGCACAAAGGAAGTTGATGAGCAGATGATCAATGTGCAAAACAAGAACTCTTCTTACTTTGTCGAGTGGATACCTAACAATGTCAAGTCCAGTGTGTGTGATATCCCACCTAAGGGCCTTAAGATGGCATCTACATTCATCGGTAATTCAACTTCAATCCAGGAAATGTTCAGGAGAGTTAGTGAGCAGTTCACAGCTATGTTCAGGCGCAAGGCTTTCTTGCATTGGTACACTGGTGAGGGAATGGACGAAATGGAATTCACCGAGGCTGAGAGTAACATGAATGATCTTGTTGCTGAGTATCAGCAATACCAGGATGCAACTGCTGATGAAGAAGAGTATGGGGAGGAGGAAGAAGAGGAGATTGGTGCTTAAGGCAGCATCTCTATCATCTGTCAAAATTGTTTCAAATATCAATATATACTTGGCTTTGAGCGAGTGGTATATGTTTAAATTGTGAAGCAGTCAAATTAGATTGACTCGTTAATGTGTATGTTTGTATTAATTGTCATTGTCAAAACTGGCTTTTATTGACAATGCTTTTTTCTTGAGATGTTTGTAATGAGTAATGTTTATATGCATAAAAGTAAAATGATCTCGTTTGCTTTTTCAATGTGTTGATTATACATATTGCCTTGGAATGACACAAATGGTGGTATCTTTCTCAATGACTTCAAATTCTGAATTCTCTTGCTGATATACTACATATATAAATCCAATTACAAATTCTTGTCAAGATTGATATTTTTTCTAATTTTGTATTAGGATATACGTCTTCCACTACTGCCCACCCTGAGATTATGTCCAGATTATACCTCACACCCCACATATTTCATTAACACCAAAATTGTGTATGGACCAAGTTTGATTAAAATGTGCGAACTAAATTTTCGATAGTTTATTGAAAATTTTCGATAACATTACAAAACTCCAGTTGTTCATTTTAAAATTACCGGTATAAATTATACTGTTTTTTAAAAGACCGATGTCTTTGAAATAATACTGGTGATTTTAAGAAATACCATGTGACCCCAAATATTTAAAAAAATTAAACTTTTAATAGTTTAAGTTTTCAATGGTTATAATTTTGTTTGTATGATTATGATTGCACCGACCGTTTTGTATGATCAATAATAAATTCAAAGTTGTATAAATAGGGGTCGTGTGTTGTTAAGAAAATTATCTTACAATGCTTTGCCTTTTGTTTAAGGCAAAAATGTAATTCAATGAGGTGAAACCTACCGTAGAGTTTCGGCTTCTAGAGGGCACCACATGTTTCGCAGTCTTGAGATCCAAGTTGAATGATATGTTGTCCGACACCGAGAATAGAAAGGAGTGTGTTGCAAACACTACTATGAAAACACCTATCACAACGATTGGAAAATGAATACCACCACGCTGGATCAACCATTGTGAGGTAAGGTGTGATTGTATGTATGATGCTTTCTACCACGATTGTGCGATCGTGATTATAACTACGTAGTGTGCTACCTACCACAACAGTTACTTTAAACAACCGTTGTGATATTCTTTAATGCATGATATTTAACAACAGTTGGTATAAACAACCGTTGTGATATATACACTGAGTTTATTATAAATTATATGAAATACTTATTTCGCCGATGCTTACTAAATATATAACATTTCAATCTGAACTAGAACATTATAATACGTCAAATTAAGTTATATTAGAAGAATAAATTCACGTTAAATGTTTGACAAGAGTTCTTTAACTCCTTATCTTCATTTTGCTTTTTAATCGTTAGAATTTATTTTAATGATCATAGTTCTTCAACCGCCAATGCCTTCACCTCTAGTTCATTTTGCAAAATATTATTTACTTTACAAACAAAATTAGAGGTGGAGAGAGGGGTGGTTGAAGAGCTACAATCATTAAATAAAGTTCTAAGAGTTAAAGAACAACATGCAGATAACAGATTGAAGGATTCTTGTTAAGAATTGAACATGTACTTGTTTTCTAATATAACTTTATCTACCATATTATAATTTTCTAATGCAATCTGAATAGTTATATATTCGGTAAGGGATCAGAAAAAAAATACTCAAACCACAACATATAATAAACTCATCTTTTAAACAAACATCAACAATAACATTCATAAAAAAAATCATCAATAACAAACCATAAACAACATACACGACACAACAAACATATCAAGTCATAAAATATTTCAGAAACGTACATGTCCCGTAATGACGTGTCCACAATGAAAGAAGGATGAAGCTGAAGTTAGAGCTGCAAACTTGTGTCTATTTTAAATGGATGTCATTCTGGACCTTTCACACAAGTTTGCAACACTCACTTTATCTTCGTCATCGTTATTGAAACAAGCATCCCAACCTACAAGTCAAAACAAGCAAAAAGTTCAAACATTATGAAACAAGCTATTGAAACATAAACAATAATACATAATTAAAATTTGAAACAAATATAGCGAAGAAGAACCTGTAAAGTAGCCATTGGTTAAAGTTTGATGCAATAAAGGTATCCTTCGAAGAAGACGAGTTGACTGCATAAATTTGGGGTTTCCATATGGGAGAGACGAGTGATAGAGATGTTAAGATTTCATTTTAAGAGAGACGGGTAAAAGAGATATTAGAGTTTTGTTTTGAGAGAGACGTTTGTTATGTGTTTAAGCAACATATAATTTAATTTATAAATAAATAAGTAACACCTTTCACCACAATTGACAATGCAAACCGTGATGAAATGATTGAAACTTACACCACAGTTTATTATATAAATCGTGGTGATATACAAAACCAATCCCATTATGTCACGATAAATGGAATATTATTGGTGATGGGATTCAAATCATTTCACTTCAGGTACATTTCATTACGGTTGGTACATGTTCCGGACTGTCTCAATGGCTAGGCATGACCCAATCCACTTTTGCACCCCAAAACGGTCCAATAGCCTAAGCCCTGCCAGTTAAGGGCAAAGGAAAGCATTTTCTATTCTGCCTCTCAGCCGAGGAGGGCTGACCAGCTGACCCCCAAGACCAGTTTTCCTTCGTTACATCTTTGTCTGTCACGCACGGTTCAACCATCTAGGAACGGAAACGACACTCTTGCCCGCAACCACGCCCCTGCTCAAAGCAACAGCTAGTTCCGAGCATGTCTGTTCGTCTCAACGGCTAGTTTCTGGCAGTTACCTATTTATGGGGAGCGAATATCTCGGCCCGAAAATATGGACCAATGGCCAAGTGCTGAGAGCATTATAGAAACCCGCTCCTTTGAAAGAGTCAGATATTCGATAATCATCCTAAGACATTCTTACTTTGTACTTTCCTTCTCATCTCCTGATTCTTACTTTAGCATCGGAGTGCCTTGCAGATACACCCCTCCTCCTTGGATTCCAAAATTGTAGACGAAGTCTCTGCCCCAACCGAAAAGATCAGTGGCGCCGTCTGTGGGAATTTCTATTTTACCCGTCTTTCTTTCCCCTAAAACCAAAGATCAATGCAATTTTTCAAGATTCCGATCATGGCTAGCCATGATAACATCAACGATGCGTGCAACACCTTCACCCCCTGCCAGTAAGACAGACAACGACGACGCAAACCCCTTTCTTGGAGAGAATGTTCCTCAGCAGAGGGACGAAGTCACCGCATATCCCTCCTCGGATCGCGCCAATAACGTAGAGATCTAGTACTCAGAGGACCGTCAACCTGTCTCAATTCCGCCCAATGCCGACCAGGCCGTGACAGCTTTGGTAGAAGCCCTCAACAAGGTGAACCTTCTGATCCTCCAACAGAATGCAAGAATTGGAGCATTGGAAGAGATCCGCCTTCCAAGAACTCCTCCACCAAGGAGCGAATCAGAGATCTCAGAGTCATTCTCCCCGACACGAAAGAAATCTTCGAATTCTAGCATATCCTGAATCCCTGTCGGTGAAGAAATGCGACCATACCCCTCCCCAGAGCCAGCACTCCCTAGGGACCAAGAGAACAATAAGAGATCTGCGACCAGAAAACCAATATTCACCTTCGCCCAGAACTAAGGGCCGATCGCGAACTCCTTCTTCTCGTCGAGATCACGGTCCTCACCTTGGTAGAAACACTCGCTCTCGTTTGCGGTTGAGCAACTATAGTGACGACGATGAGCCTCGAGGCCCGTTATCCCAGGAGATCATGGCCACTCGATTGCCCAAAGGGTTGGAGAAACCCCCACACCTGGGCACACATGATGGCACGACCAATCCCGACGAGCACATCGAGAGCATCGATGCCCTGCTCGACTACCGTTGCATTAGAGGCACCATCAAATGCAAGTTGTTCCCGACAATACTGAGGAAGGGAGCAATGTCTTGATACAAGAGCCTCCCCTATGAATCCATCACCTCATGGAAGCAGTTAGGGAGGATGTTCTCGAGATATTTTACAACCTCTCGCCGTCATCTGAAGACAGAAGCCTCCCTCGAGGCTATCATTCAAGAAAAAGACAAGTCTCTTTGAGCTTACATTGAAAGATTCAATAAAGAAGTCGTGCAGGTCTCCATACTGACGACATGAAAAAATATTTGCTAGAACAAAGGCTCCGTCCCCACAGCGACTTTGCCAAGGCGGTTGGCATCGAAACCCTAGCAACACTGGATGCCCTCCTCTTCAAGGCTCGGGCATATATCCAGTATGAAGAAAAAAAGTAGCAAACATTGCCCGAGACTCAAGGCACCAAGAGAGCGCCAGGTCTTTGAAACACGATGAATCCTCATCAACTCTTCGGGGAGCAGAAAAAAGGAGGGATAACCGCCTTCGGGAATTCTGGGATCATAAAGGGTCATCCATCCATTTCCATGAGTACACATCGTTGAACACCTCGCGTGAGAAGATTCTCTCAGAATGCGCAAACACAGAATTTTGGCAGGTAGGGGTCCGTTTCCCAAAGAAGACACCTGCCAAGCCGAACACGGTTAAAAAAAAGTATTGTCGGTTCCAAAAGAGTCATGAGCACATGTCGGACGAATGCATCCACCTTAAGGATGTAATTCAAATCTTGATCAGAGACGGGAACCTGAAGCTTTTTGCAAAGAAGAAAGATGCTCCTCAACAGGAGGCCCAAGAATCGAAGAAGGTCGAAGAAGAAGTACCATCCTCGGACGACGTTAGTCTTCAGGTCGCCATGAGCATCTCACGACCAGAAGATTTATATGTCCCTAATGGGTTCGACGCCCCTCTTTACTTTGCTACACATAGCCCCTGGGAAGCCTTCCTCTACGCCATGGTTATATCGGGAGAAGGATTTAACAAGGTGACTGTGGGGTCAGTAAAGAGAAAGTTCGAGCACCTCATCAATACGAGCTCGAACCAAAGATCTACCCTCGACAAGGTCCGGGGAGATTCAGTTCC